CAGACACGATAGAAAGCTTTCGATATATCCAACAACACCGCACGGGTCTCTCCGTGGTCGTAGAGTGCCGATGACTAGGTATGTGAAACGAACGCCAGATCACCGGTACATCGATGGGATCGAAAACCCTACTGGCGATTGCTAAGCATCCGGTTCTACTCCAGGTGATGGCGAAGTTGATCAGCAACAACTGATTTCATAAACTTCGAAAAGACTGATGTGAGAAAGATGAGGCGGTAGTTGTTTGGGTCAGAGTGGTCGCCGCGTTTGGGGATGGGAAATATTTCGGATACTTTGCATGGGATTGGGAATATCTCGGAATTGAGAAATAGACAGAATAAGCACGTAGGAGGGGAGCCAGTTCTGGGGCGCATATTTTGAGCACAACAGGAGGAATCCCGTCGGGTCCAGTTGACATGTATGGGTCCAGCGATAAGATCTGACGTATCTTTCTGCTGGAAATGAGCGGTGTGAAAAGATGGTTTGCCGTAGGGTGTGTGGATGGTTTGATGGGTGATTTCAGTAGGGTAGAACTGGAAGCAAAATGAGAGGCAAACCCCCGCTATTCTAACGGGTCAGATACTAAGTCATTCGGTGGTTTAACAATGGGTGATAAGTCAGTGGAACAGAAGTTATGGGAGACTGCCTTAGCGAGTGACCAGAACAGCCCGCTTCCAGAAGGAGCGGTCGCCAATTGTGCTGTTTTGCGCTTAACAAAGTGCTTCTTAGCCTTCTTTATGATGGTTGTGCAGTTGTTTTCAGCTAACAAGAACCATCAACGGGAACTGGAGGGTGAGGGACGCCAGCGGTGGAACGCTGATTTCTTTTTACGAACAGCCCGACAACAGGCGTGGGTAAAACATTCCGAAGAAAGAGGCTTGCCTGGTTTAGTGAAGGAAGAACTTTGGAAAAATTCGAAGCCGAGATGGAGGCATCGGCTGCAGACGACCATCGCCATTGCTAAACACACCACTCTGAATAGAGCAAAAACCTATGAAGAAATCCAGATCCGTGGTTACAACATAACTCAGAGCATTAGCTAAGCAGACCCCGACTGAATAAGACTTCAGCATGCAATTCCCTCCGCACCCCCGACCTCATATGAAAACAGGTTTCTGCGCTTAGTGATTGGTATTCTCATTAATACACGCTGTGAGCGACACCATTTTCAGATAAAAATCGGTTCAACCTCTCGCTCACTCCATCTCTCAACTACATGGTTCTTCCGGATTTTCGAAACTGCATTAGAATGACTTAAAAAGAATTTTGAAAATAAGAGGTTAAGCACTTGCTCCGTTGAGCAACCACCATTGTCCTAAATTCTGTGCCTTACCTCGGCATGGCCTACCCAGCTGTCCCACTAGAATCGTGTAATAAAGCACAAACAGAAGAGAGTATAAACTATTAGGCTATCTTTATTCTTTTCCCGCAACCATAGTTTACGACTCATATGGCAGCACCGGTCGGCCGGTTGCAGCGTACACTCAGACGTTCGCGGACAACCGAATGGCATGGAGGCGCCATGGGCATTTCAATTTGGAAAGAGCAGCTGACCTCTTTACATGCATGCCGAAACATCATCTGAAACTTGCCCACCAGATGCAACCGCCCGAGTAGCAAACAGCCAACTGTTTGGTACTTCTCCCGTTAGCGATTTTCGGAGCTGGAGCTGCCAAATCCTGCTTAAAGCACAAAACGCATACCAACCATAACTGCGATGGAATTAGAACTATCCAGAAATTCTTCCAATTCAACTGGATCTTCACTTGACAAACAAAACTAGGCAATATTTGTATTTAAACTCGGGATAAACGAGAAAAACAAGGTACCTTGCCAGCACCGCGACCCAATTCGTCACCCGGATAATGCCGTATAGATCTGAAATCAAAGAAAGGTAATCCAAGTTAAAATTGTCCTTTCAAGCGAGAACATTACACTGAAAACAATTTAAAACGATCTCCGTCTGTGTCAGCTAATGCTAAGAGTTGTAATGGCCATGCAATGCTATGAACACCACTGCAATGAATAATTATAGTGTCTCATACTCTCTCTTTCAACGACCACGCACTCACTCATTAGTGGGTTGCGAATTCCAGGTAACCAGTACATGTCAATTAAGACTTAGTTTTGCCTATATCCAGTAACTGAATATCAAAGACTGTATGATTAGCAGATACAAACGCCTAACCTGAGTACGACCGTTTAGGGAGAGGAAGTGCAGTATATACCACAACCAATGAATGCAAAGCGTCTGGCATGTTACTATACAACCTACTGTGACCAACAGTACAACGTTCGCTAACTTTTACAGTCACCTTGGACAAGAACCCAACATCTCTAGTCTATCCATAGCCCTCGTATGCCAAACACAATGATGTAACTAACATGCGTTTAGCGGTTCACTTTCAGAAAAATTGGGGTTATGCACTTGTTCACTTCATTTTGACAAACATCAGATTCACCGTGACTTCATTTGCGGTTTATATAGAAGTGGTCAGTCGGCGTCCGAGGTTGGTTCGTGGAGTGCGAACGCCGAGCGGTGTACCGCCAGCTGAGTTCTTTAAAGTTTGTACTGTTTCCGTTTCAACTATTAACTATGCACTTTCGTGCGACGCTTTTGGTAGCCCTTTGAATGAACGAATGGAGAGAAGTGTGGAACATGGAAAGCAGTGATACTGTGAAAATTGAGAATTCAGATCGACTAAAGCTGTGAAGAAATTGAGCAGATGCACGACAGACTAATTACGACACTCAGCCCTATCACTCTTGGTTACATTGGTCTCGAGGTCCCCAACCAGGAAGCCTAACGTGACCTGTGTCAGCAAGTCCCCTGATCAGGGTTTCTATACCCTCATGAAAGTTTTAGCCTGCTCATTCTTGACTCTTCCCACCCGTTAATATTGTCTCAGCCAACATTGTGCGGGGTGGTAACCTACTCGGTGGCGCAAGCAACACATAACCCAAACAACGTAATCTACGGAAGTCGATGCGAATACCCCTAACTTTGCCTGATCAAACAAGTGCAATGCGGTGCAGACCACGATAATTGGACACCGGCGGTCCATCTTTATACCTTACTCGTAATGATTAAGTTTCTGCACCGTATGACAACACTAGTGACTCTTGCATCATATAACCTACTCTTCGCAGACAGCCGAATGTCACGACGGCACTATAGATGTTCGAACTAGGTAAATGTTAATTGAGCTGTCTATATACATGTCGAAGGGTCATGCGCACATCATTTTTTACAGCCAACAGCCATGCACTTTCGTTGGTCACTTTTTATTGCTGTCTCATGGTTGTCCTTTGAGATGACCGTGTAAAAGGAGGATCGAAACGGTCAAATTAATGTGAGGGCCAAAATAGAGAATTCGTAAAACCTTAAGTTGCTTCGACCGAGTGAGATATACGTGACCCAGTTCTTCGAGGCTTTACCTTTACTTCTTACTTGCAAGTGACAAAACAGCCGCTGAGAAGTGAGTTTTCGCGTTACTTTTTCACCATGTACGAGACCCAATGCACAGCTTCGTGCAATTACTGATAACGAAACATGGAACAAATAGCCAACTGGAATCGGGTATCCCGGAGATGGAAACTGACAGATTCGCTTTGGCAGATAATAACAACATTCCGTGCGAGGGACGAATCGATCAAGAGGATCGCTGCTTTACTAGATTCAATTAAATTGGACTGTAGCTGAAAACTAACAACTAAACGCCTCATTTAATACAATTGTGCGCAGCTTATTCAGAGCCTAAAAGACACGAGAATTGACTAAGAATTCAATTTTAGCCGAAAAGAAGTTGGAATTGCATACTGGCTCCGCTTACGATAAATGGTATCGCGTTAAATTCTCGTGTTTGGATAAACAATCTTGGAACTAAAACGATGCCTGTAAGTTAGAAGAAAACGCCCTCATGCAACTGTTCTGTCCCTCACCATATGCACCTCATACGAGTGTGAAATCGTGGTAGGATTTAGTCAGGCTATGCAGGAGAATCAGCATGTAGGTGATGCAGGATCTGCCCGGTGAAAATCCATGCTGCANATGCTGCAAAAGAGAAAAAGGGCTTTTGAAGCGGAAATGACTTAGGATGTCTTCTTTGATGAGCCACTTGAAGATTATTTTCCGAGTAGTACTAAGGGAGATGAGACGGTAACTTCCAAGGAAATGTCTACCTTTTATGAAAACGAGGGAAATAACAGCTCCTTTCCACCCGGTTACTAAAAATCCCTTTCCATACTCCGTTGCAAGGAGTGTACGGACAGAGAGAATAACAACTGACTCCGCCATTATTCTAGGGATGTATAGTGTCAGGTCCCATGGAGCAGTACGGGTCTATCCACCGGAGTCTTTCTCCCAGCTTCTCTTGCGAGAAATGGATGAATCCTAGGGATGAGTTTATTTCTCGCGATTGGAGCACGGAGTAGTTGTACGCAGGAAAAATAAAGGTTTGATGAAAGTGGGATCGAAATGCATCCACGACATCCATGAAACAGTTGAGACCTTTGGGAGACCGAAGTTGTATATAGGCTACGAATCTATTGGTATTTGTTATTTCGGACGTTGATTGGGATAGCTGTCTGAGTATATCTATGGTGCTCTCCAACTTAGGATCGGCAAAGATTTCTCACTTGTTCGAGCGTTCCGTCAACCTCGAAGCGAGTATTCCAGTACCTCGCGAGTAGGTTAGCCCAATATCTACCAGCCGGTAGATGAGACGTGGGAGAGGGGGAGGCTCANACTTGACGCAGATACAAACTGCGCATCTGCACGAGAGAGGACCTGCTCGATGTGCTGGGTGGAGCCATCGACCGTCATCTCACAAAGATGAACGTGTAGTTGCACGAATATACCAATCATTGCACTTTGTTCTTTTTAAGAAAGGAACCCATCGAGTATTTTCGCTAAACAGATTCCGAGTTATTATGTATTCAAATATCAGGGAAACGTGATCAATTTTTTTCTCGAGCATAAATCAACCTGTCTTTCGTGAGAGGAAACGGTCAAAATTTCCTCTAAAACGAATTCCGAAAATCACGTAAATCACATTGAGAGAACCGGGGCTTGAGTGGGCTGCAGATAATGGACTAATCACACAACGGTCGTCTGTCAGATGTGGCTTTCTTGTAATAGTCTTGCCTTGAGGCGATTCCTTATGCATCAACATGCGGCTTATGTGTAAACTCGGTGAGGATATAGCATTTTCCCTATCAGAGTTCCGCGGACTAAGTTAAAACCAGTTTCGTTCTATCTACCCATATTAATGAAAAACACGTAACAGATCAAGTTATATCAAAATGTATCCCTAAGAATGGAGTGCTCTTTTGTGACATAAGGAAACATTTTTTTCCAAAATGCAATCTTTTCATAACGTCGTACAGCAAAATACCTTCAACTGAGATCGTCGCCAGGCTCACAATATACACCAATTCCATGCGAATTCAAGCTTAGATCTACCTAGGTGTATGGGTGTACAGTCTTCAGCTTTGATGGAAGAGAGTAGACTAACGATGTAAGCATCATCACCACGGGTTCCAAAGGTCAATAACACATGGCCGTTCTCCCATAACCCTCTAAGGTACTCATCCGAATGCTGCTTGAAAGCAGCGCCAAGTATCTCCGCTAGTCTGTTTTGAAGCAGGGGAGCAGAAAATGGACTAACCAACACGGAGTAAGGTCTNNGCATTTAGTATTAGCATTCTGTCCTGATAAAAATGACAAGAACGCCATAACTGTCACCTTTTTCGCCAAGTCCCCTAACTAAACAATGAGTGTTTCAAACTCCGAGTTGGAGGACAAGAAAGACCGATTCTACTGAATCCTTTTACGCATTTATTTATGTCTCAGCTTTGTGTCATCTGATGGTTTTCAAATGAGTTCACCCAACTTGGAGCGGCAAACGCAAACAAAATGCGGTATCTTAGACGGCTGCTAGGCATGCAATACGAGTGTTCTAACAAGCGAGACCTACACATCCGAATTCGGTGACGAATTTTCTACCAAACAATGTCCAAATACCCAACANCTTACCTCGATGTTACTCATTCGTTTGCTCTATCCTACCGGGACCCAACTAGGTAAACATCGGTGGTCGAAGATTTGCGATCGACGAATTTCTGCGTTCAAACTTAATCCCAGAAACGCAGAGCGGAATTGAGCGCACAATGGCACAATATAATCGACGTTTCCACTCGCGGGAAACGTTGCATCGACACCATTAGTTTTTCAGTTCTCCGAATGCATCTTGAGTCTTGCATATGCATGTGATCACCCCAACTGAACTGTCGATAATAGAAGTAATGAACTGCACTTAAAGCTTGACCATCGAGTTTCAACGCAGCTGATTCTAAGTCTATCAGCATCACTTTGCACGTTGGAGGTGCAAAACACACTAAAAAGAGCAGGGAGCAGCTTTCGTCTGGTTTACTAGTTGCACATTTTAGAGATCAATCAGTGCGTTTTCTAATATTTCGTCTACGACGGAACTGAACAAGAATGGTGCAATTGAGTGCCTCTAAAGAATTTTGCTGTTGGTTTCGAAGGATCTGCTCAAATCACCGTAGACCTCCACTATGACAGAAGTATGTGGATGCAGTGACCTCGGTAGAGTAATAAACTTCTGATGCACATTCTGGCGAAGAAAGTAGGTAGTGTTTCGTGACCAAGGGATTCGAACGTCTACCTTGGATGGGGAAACAATGCAGTCGTTAGTCGATGGTTTGCCGCAACTCGACTGCTCAGCGCAACAATAGGATTTGACCGATGCAAACGCGATCTGATTGACATCTTGTCTGCTTCTCACTGATAGTTGTTCCTCTCAGGTGTCGTAAGAACGCTTATACTTTAGTGGTACCGCAATAAAACTTGTCCCGGGGTCGTTGAGTGATTCGTCGAATGCAAGAACGACGAGTGATTCGTTCCAGAATGCTAGGATACGCTCCTCGCCGTATGTGGTGCAGCAAATCTGTAATAACACCTATCAAGGCGCAATAATTACCCACTGAAGCATGAATCGGGACTTCGTATGAAGGGACGATAGGTAAAAATAAAGTATAAATGTAGGACAAACCAAAATGGTCGTAACAGAACCGGAAAACTGCTGAGTACATTGTTCCGAAACCCATAGCGCGTAGGAAAAAGAACGATATTGAAGTAAATCGAAATTGACTAAAGTCAGCAGTAGAAAACACAGTTCAGAAAATATCAAGACAGGAGGGGCTATTCAAATAGAAAAAGACCTGGAAATAGTATAAAAGATATAGTTCTAATCTACTAACAAGAAACAACGGGCAAGTGGTAGTAATTCATTTCTTGGGGGCACGTGGTACTGTGTAGGGTTTTTCTGGAAAGTTCAAAGCGCATGATGCGTACCGCGCAGCCGTGAACAAATAATCACTGAGTCTATTCATATAAATTGTAACTGCGGGTTCCACCACCATTTGTTCGAGATTAAGTGTAACAATGCGTCTTTCAGCCCGCCTGCATATCGCGCGCGCAAAATGGAGTGTGGTACCCGGTGTACCGCCAGAGGGCAGGATGAACTGACGAAGTGGAGGTAAAACTGCCGTCATTGCGTCAATCCAAGCCTCCAGTTCTACAGAGGCAGCTTCCTCAGGAAAATTGACATGAGCGAATCGTGCTCGGCGTTTTTCTGCACTATTCGGCTCCGAGGAACTGGGTATGGGAGTAGCCACTGAAGAGGACAAGGCTTGCAGCCGCCTTTGTATCAGATCCAGTTGATCACAAAGTTCCTGAAGGTTATAACCTTCAGGAACTTTGTGATCAACTGGATCTGATACAAAGGCGGCTGCAAGCCTTGTCCTCTTCAGTGGCTACTCCCATACCCAGTTCCTCNCACTGAAGAGGACAAGGCTTGCAGCCGCCTTTGTATCAGATCCAGTTGATCACAAAGTTCCTGAAGGTTATAACCCGGCTGAACCGGTCTTTTCGAATACAAATCGATTTGGGCCAACGCCATAGATAAAGCACATGACAGCTCATCCACAGAACCCAGAGCATCAAAAACAGCATCTGTCTTCGAACGTCGTTCCCCAGTAAACAATGCAGATGTACCCTTGTCTCCCGTACCCGTATAGATTTTCATGGTCCGCATAGGCACGAGAAACTGAACGGACCGCGCCTTTATGTTGAGAAAGAATTGCTGTCGCACAGGTGTGGTCGTCCCTCTGTGAGAACCCAAGCAGGAGAAGTCAGCTTAACAATTGCGGACCAGTTAAAAGATGTGCAAAATCAGACCTAATCAGTCAGATGGCAAGTCTATCAGGAAAGCTCAGTAAAAGAAGGAATAATATTAAAAACGCTAAGACGAATTCTAGATGAAAATACGACGTCCATAACGAAACAAGTATCCATGCTATACTTCAGTCCGTCTCAAAAAAACAAAATCTGTGCACAAGCGCTTCGGTTTAGAACGCTATATATGGCAATTCATATAGCATATAAAATGAAAGCTGCATTGTGATTACGTTTAGCTCTAACATTCTGAAAGATAAACGCAAAAAGTATGCATGAACACCAGCGAGTAACTCTTAGCTATGTTGTCTATTCCGCGGATTCCAACCACGAAACCATGTGATCTAATCAACCAAGCGCCTAAGTAAGTGTATCATCATTTCACAACAAAACATTAACTAGCAGCGCAAGCTTACAATTACAAACCACAGTATCAAACAGCCAATCAAGGAAAGACTCCGGGGATAAGCACATATTACGAGGGTGACTGTAAGATTCTGACCACATTTATTCTCGATGCCTTGCGATTAGGATTTTTAGCCCGGGATCAAACCGGTTTTTTTGTGGCGCAAGTAGGATCCTAACCAGTATCCACTAATAAAGCACTAATCCACGTAAGGAATCAGTAGAAGAAACTTGTTATTGAGCAGAATGACAGTAGAGCTGTCTACCCTCGGGTTAAGCTGAGTTGAATACCACCAGGCGCGTCCCCGGGTTGTGGATAGGGGATACCACCACCGAAGAAGGTTAGCTGTGAATAAGTTGTGACATACAGCAACAAATAAGCAGTCGCGAACAAACGGCGGCGGCACTACAAAGGTGTGGTGGGTTTCAGGTTGGTTATCTGACCTGTTTGTTCTAAGTCAGCGACTGAGAATATTAAACGAAATATTAACATCTCACGACACTTGTCTTCTTTCTGTTTTCATAAAACCTCCGAGGCGAGAGATTACTTCCTGTTGTCTTTCAGTTCGCACTTGGTTGTGTAAAGGCTAGAGGTGCGCCCTCAAAATAAAAAACGCCGAGTGACGCTGGGGATGTCTCTTGTACCAACCTCCCAAGGAACTTCATGATCATGGGCATGTCTGAAGCCGGCTTGTTCTTTCCAAGGAGCCAGCGGCAGTAGAGAGAGCTGTCTACTACGAATGATTACACAAAGCGATGATTCCGTACATCGTGGGGTGAGTTCTCAAACAAACTGCAGAAAACCACTCGGTTCAGATGAAGCTCCGATATAGTTGTTCACAACGATAATGTCAACGCGCAGATTGTAATGGTTATCAAAACCCAACAATGAACGGATTCTGGTCATTGACCACTTTAGTTTTGTTCATATCAATGGCTCTTCCAGTTTAAGGGTTTTACTTTAGTTCTTTAGCCTTTTCCAATCGTCCTTTACAAATGTTATCCTTTCCCTTAGATAAATTCAGCATAGCCCTCGAAAACCTTACTGTGATCGGGGGTGGGCGTCTCGGTTCGCGGCTGGTCATACGTTCTTTGCAAGTCGCGAACTGCTCCTATATCATTAAGCGTCTCAAATAGCCTCCGCTAAGGAAACCATACTCACTACCTTTTCGTGGCAGCGATGAAGGGCCGAAAAGCCCACATCTGGGGCTATAACCGGGTTGGTGAACAACTGGCAGTTCACCTAGGGGAGTTGGCTAAAAACCCTGATTTCAAATCAACTAAGAGACACACGAACCAAGCACACACCTTCCTGATCGTGGTAGTGGTCAACGGCTCAACTGGGTATTGCGGTGTATTGGGCAGATGGGACATTTGAGCCTGTCCAAGGAGCGTATGATACGATGAACTGGACACCGGCCCACAACGGATTGCGGTTTTCGCACACCGCCCCGCTACCTTGTGGTTTAGGCTTTAGTTAACCGAAGGCTCCGTTTGTGAATTCCACAAGAAAATTCATCTGCTTTGGCCTGAACAACCTGGCAGCATTCTGCTCACATGTAAATGAAACTTTTTCTTTTATAAAGATTATTGTACCGTGGTTTGCTTGGCATATAT